ACTTCTGCCTGTTTTATTCTAGCTGCACTGGAAGCTGATTAGATGGTGTCCACCCACATTGAGGGTGAGTCTGCCTCTCCCAGTTCAATTGACTCAAATGTTAATCTCCTTTGGCAACATCCTCACAGACACACCCAGGAACAATACTTTGCATCCTTCAATCCAATCAAGTTGACAATATTAATCGTCACAGGATCCTATATTATAGATGCAACTACCTAAGCTTCCTCTGATCTGAATTGCTAGGTACTACTAGGTGACTCAGTTACCAGTTGACAGCATTGCATAGCATGAAGGGAGGCAGAAAATAGTGAACGAGAGGGGAACTGGAAAAACTGTAGCTGACACTATGTGCTGATGACATCTCACAGATGGCAAAGGGCATCACTCATAGAGCAGGACAGCTATGAACAAGGACCTGTTAACATCTGTCATTTTCTATATATTCTATATATCTATATCTTCATGTCCTTACTAGCCATGAGAAATAAAAATGTATTTAAAGATTCTCACCTTATTTCCTATGCAATTGATGGGTTGGAAAGAACTTTTATCCCTATCACCACTTTTCTAGGTGTTGACATGAACTCTTTGGTTTACTTTCTATGATATTATCATTCTTCCCAAATGAGGAATAACTAGTCTGATTGGTTAGAGGCAGAAATTTATTGGGCTATGCTTTTGAGTCAGTCAGGGAGGGTATTAAATAGCTCACTTGGACCTGTGTATAGGTTCTCTTTCTTTTCCATTGTATTTCATACTATAAAGTTCTCCTTCTTTGCCCTATCCCCACCTGTTTTGGTGACTGGTGGACTGGCCTTAGAGCTGGCCACAGAGGTAAAGACGCAGAATGTGCTCTACAGACCCATCTCTTCCCTCACGCAGGTCCACCCCTCCATTGCCCGGGCTCAAGGTCCATTTTGCAATCCAGCTTTACCAGAGTTATACATTGGCAGTTACTGGACAAGTGCTTTGTCAATTAATAGAACTGATACTGTATTCCAATGTATTCTTCCCATCAGTTAAAACCCAGAGAAGAGAAAGGGTCTTTCCCCAACTCCATCATTAAACTATCCACATGTGGCCATTTAAATTTAACTATAATTAAAATAAAATTTAAAATTCAGTTATTTGGTCACACCAGCCACATTTCAAGTGTTCAACTTACTAATACCAGCCTCTTGTAGCTAGTGGCTACCATATGGGACAACACATAGAACATTTCCATCATTGCAAAAAGTCCTATTGGACAGCACTGCTGAAGTAGATTTTCATATAAAACTCTACAAAAAATGTAAAGCCAAAGAAAGTAACTCATGTTTCACTGATTGCCTAATTTGTACTCTTTAGCTCTTAGTGTACAACATCACTTTCTAGAGAGAGTTCATCACGTGTCTTTCATCATCAACAGACTAAGGAGAGCTCTTGGCAGTAAGAATAAATTCTAAAAGGGGAGGAGCAATTTAATTCTTACGACATTAGAGATCTACAGAAGGGTACTTTGTTCATATGCTGCCCACTGGCCACCACTCGATCCCTATTACCTTTATTAAGAACTATTTTTCCCCCCAGATTTCACAGCTTCTGAAAACACAGTATAATTATTGACTAATTAACAATGTAAATTTGATAACATTCACAGACACTGAGAACTTCCCATAGACTCATTTAAAATTTCTTTCCTCTTTCGTCTTCCACACCTAATTTTACTATTGCATGATTTCACTAGGCAAAGTTTCAATGTTCTTGAAATATGGATGTTAAAACACTCAGGAGATTGCTTTCATTGGAGAACAAGTCTTAGGCTGCAAATCTAGTATCACCTGCATAGTACTTACATTAGAAATTTCAGATTCAGAACTCAATCAAAATGCATATATAAAGTGTTATATTAACATGTTTCTTTTGTATTTAGGTGTTTTCATTCATGGATTATTTCTGGATGGAGCTTCCTGGAATAGAAAGATCAAGAAACTTGCAGAATCGCATCCCAAAATTCTTTATGATACAGTGCCTGTGGTTAGTAAATTCTAATTATATATACATGTGGAATTATTTTATACATATTTTATATATAAAATAGACCCCATCTTGTATGTATATATGCGTGTGCATATGTATATATATAAACAAACACATATACAGTCAATTCTTGTTATTCATGGGAATTACGTTCTATAAAGTTGCTTCCAACATTGAATTAGCAAATACTGAACCACTGCTCCTGGGGAAATAAATACAGGGTTATTTCTTTGGTCACAACATTTTTGTTAGCTGATCAATAAATAACCTTATTTGTGTCTGTTTAAAGACACCTCATTTAATATACAATGTTGAGTCATTAACATTAACTCACGGTCAAAATTCTATGAGCTTCGTTGAGACATGAGCTAATATTTTCTCTATGAGGCGTATCAGCCTTCTTGCACTTAGCATTGGCCGGGCGCGGTCGCTCAGCACTTTGGGAGGCTGAGGCGGGCGGATCACCTGAGGTTGGGCATTCGAGACCAGCCTGACGAACATGGTGAAACCCTGTCTATACTAAAAATACAAAAATTAGCCGGGCGTGGTAGCAGGTGCCTGTAATCCCAGCTACTGGGGAGGCTGAGGGAGGAGAATCGCTTGAACCCAGGAGGTAGAGGCTGCGGTGAGCTGAGATCACACCACTGCACTCCACCCTGGGCAACAAGAGCAAAACTCCGTCTCAAAAAAAACAAAAAAAAACAGCACTGCGTTACACATGGGGGTCATTTTAAACAGTGAAATCGCCAACAAAAACACAGAAATGTGAAAACTCTGGTACTAAATAGGCCATGAAAAAGGACACTAGTTTACGGTTATGAGGTGAAACAAGAAAGCAGAGCCTCTCACCTGGTTCAACCTGAGCTGGGAAAGTGTGTTGGATGACACAAATCTTTAATGCTCTGCAAATGTCCACCAAGGAGCACGACAATGCTGCCAACTGATTTTAGGATTAGAAATAAACTTTGGTGAGCAGGCAAATTTGGAAATGTGGAATCCACAAATAGTGAGGTCAACTGTATATACATTCACACACGTGTTCATTATATATTTTTTCGCACACTTTGACTTGAAAATGTGAAACTTGCATATTAAAAGATTTTGAAAACCATCAATTTAAAAAGCTACATTTCCTAGGCACCTATCTCCAGCACTGGCAGATTAAGCTTCATAAAATATAATTAAACTTCCCTCTATAACTGCATCATGAGAAAATGGCTTAAGAAAACAGCAATTTGAAGGGTAGGTCTGGGATGCTGTGATAAAATATAGGCAGTGGTATTTATGTGAATTCTGTTTGCAGGATTCTGGCAGCAGCTCAAAGACAGGTAAAAAGCCCTTCAGAGCAGCTGTAACAGGATCAGTGAGGGATCAACTGACAGCCAATTGTGAGAAAGCTGTCATATATTTTAAAATGCCATGGGCACAAAAGTTTAAAATACAAGACCCAAATTGAAAGTTGCAAGGACAAGTAAATGCAATTTCAGGAGCTGATCGAAATTGAGTCTTTCACATGGAAACTCTTAAGTAGCTTGCAGTGTGTGCAAAAAGAAATTAATATATAAACTGATAATGGTTCTCCTGAATAAGGAGCTACTTAGAAATAAAAATTCTCATTAGAAAAATCCTCTGGGGTTGAAATGAAATCTGAGTTCGGAAGAGTGCTTTGAGTCTTACGTTATAGTTAATATTTCAGAAACTGCCTTGTGGATCCCCCCTTATGAAAATCTGGATTCCACAATTAAGTGGGAGAAATAGAGAAACTCGCATCCTTATAAGCTCCTTGAACAATCTGTGTTTTGACCTGAGAAACCTAAAAGAGGGGTCTGAACATTGGGGCTGTCAAGTCCTATCATCTCGAGGATTGCTATTACTTCTACTCCAGAAAAATAAATTGAATTAAATTCTAAAATATCTTTATGAACATGGTTTGTTCTTACTCTTACATTCAAAGATCAAATTGCCTCAAAATCTTATTTTTAAGACTGGTGAGGTCCAATAATAAATTGTAGGAACTTGGTTAATGACTAAAAAGAATGGGGTATAGATTGTGGTTATAAAGGAATGCAATTATATTTTAAACAGCATAATATATATAGTATCTCCTTTATAATAGTCTCCTAAAACGGGAAGGTTTTCTAGTCATACAGTTGTTGATAAAAATCCCTTCAGCATTTTTTTGGGACTGGCTTTCAATTAATATAAAGGCACATGATTCTGAGTATCAGTGTGGCAATTCTCTCCTTTGAAAGTATGTCTGTTTTTTTTTTTTTTTTAAATCATTGTAAGTACTAAAAGTCATTTCCCAGGTAATTGTGGTTGAGAGAGGAATAGTTAGAAAATATGCTTTTAGACAGAGTAGGCGAAAACTATTTTGTCTCAGTTATGAGAGTTCTATAAAATGTTTTGAGCAATCACAACACCGCTGGTGAAAATAAATCTGTTTGGGCCACAAAAATTTGCATACATAACCTTACTCTGAGACTACGATAGTAGGCTCAAATACATGTATATTTAATAGCCTTGACTTAAAGAGATGTTATGTATTTTCTTCCAGATGTGGCTAAAGCCCTGTAAGAGGGCAGATATTCCAAAACGGCCAAGTTATGTTGCTCCATTGTATAAGACAAGTGAGCGGAGAGGAACATTATCCACCACTGGCCATTCCACAAATTTTGTGATTGCCATGACTCTTCCCTCTGACCAACCCAAGGAACACTGGATTGGACGAGGTGTGGCACTGTTATGTCAACTTAATTCATAACCAGAAGACGTCATTTCCTTGTTCCTATTTCTTGTTGGATGGCTGAGTAGGAAGCATATTTTACTACTTAAACATTTTTTTTTTGGTTTAAATACATTTGACTAAAGTTATAATTATGAATTTACTTATGAGCAAATGCAGATAAACTTAATATGATTCATACTTAAATGTAAGGAAATGTTCTGAAATAAAGACTAAAGAAAACACATTGGCATATTTGCTCTCTCTGAGTAACTTTATTTTGGAGGAGTTCCATAAGCATTAGGAACATACATAAAATGACACACCACTGTTGACAATGAAAAAAAAAACAGCATTTGATATTTTCCAGCTTTTTAAGTTAAAAAAAAATGATTCAGTTAAAACAAAACAAAAGTTTAGATATTTTAGCAAGAATCACCTTGCAGGACCATAATCACATTTAAGCCACTGACTTTTATTGTTAATGGAAAAAATTCACACTGCATCTAGTTACTATAGTATTTCTAAGCATAATCACAGCTGATTGAATGCAATGTGATATATACCAAAATTCATATGGATGTCACACAGTGACAGCATTGTACAAGTAACATTAATGACCTCCAACAAACACACTTTAAATTAGACTGGTCAAGCTAAAAGGAATGTTGGAGCCAACAGAAATGTAGTGGAATTCAGATTGTCTAGTAAGACTTGAAACTATACATTAGAATGATGTGAAAACTAAATACTGGTGGAACCCTAATACTAGCAGCAACTGTTACAGCCCTCTTAAAAGATTTGTAAAATCTGGCAAATAAAGATAATACAATATTTGAGAGAATATAAAACTTTATATACTTCAGCATAACCCACTTGCTTTAAATCAGGTATTTTAAAACTGGGAGTATATTCCAGCTGTTGCTTTTATAAAAGTTCTAAAATGAAGCAGATTTAATGCTGGAATGCAGAATCCTATTTATTTGGGTATAAAAACCCAAAAATGAACTATAAATATATCTTGGTTCAGAAATCAAGATACATGAATCACTTGAAGTTGGCAGTACTAAATAAAATATCAGCACCTTTTAGCTAGGTTGCTTGAAGGGCCAAGCAATGAGATGAGGACTGTCCTAATTCAGTGCCCAGTGCTGAAAATAATCTATGTATAAAACTTCTACTTATTATAAGGAGGCCATGGAGTAAGTCAGAAATAATTTTTCAGATTCAAGCATAAATTAAAGAACACCTAAGCTCCCTTGCTTACAGCATACAGAAGAAACACTGGCAATAATCTATAAATACCTGGATGCATGTGCTGCTCTCAGTTTTGTTTTTGTTTTAAAGTTCATAGAGTAGGAGGAAAGAAGAGTACTAAATGAAAACATTTTAGATGGAATGGAAAAGAGTTTGGCTCTTATATATTTGAACAATAAGATTGTTACAGCAGCTACACTGGTTGCCAAGCAGATTAAAACAAAGCTAGCTGCACATAGTTCAAATACAGTTTACCTGGCATAAATGAAGACCATGTGGCATAGGATGTAAACAGAAAGCTACATGCATATGACTAGTAATACAAATTATTAAGTAAAATTTCAGGATAAACATGGCTTGCACTTCTCACAAATCATTCACAATTACGTTAGGAGAACAGGGCACCTAAAAAAGAGACTAACCTCTATCAGGCACCAACAGCATATCTTGGCACAAGATGATCAGGTGATTTCAGCTGAGTAATTTAAATGTGTCTTCCAAGTCACTTGGGTACCATGACAGCCATGGCAATAATGGAGTTTATCCTAGTCACTGTTCTAAATTGACACTTCAGGTACAGATCACAGACATGGTAAACTTTGATTTTCTGCTTTACGACCTTGTAGCCAGCCATGGCATATGCTCTTGGTTCCAATGCCAAACTGGTAAAGCAACGTGAACATTCAGAACTTACATTTCCCAATTATTAACTAGTTGGTACTGTTAAAATAGGAAAATCAACTATTTAAACCATGTTTGGTTCATTTCTTTGATATTTTCTAGAGAGTTACAATTGTTTAAAAAGAGAACATTGACCACATGCTCCAAACCCTCACCTCCCCCCATCAAAAAAAAACAAAACCAAACCAAAACAAAATTAAAAAAACAAAACAAAACAAAGAACACCCCAACACCAAGTATTATAATAATACAAAGAACCATTATGAATCTTTCATTAAACCGAAGCTCACACAAACATACAATCACAAATTTCAGTAGTTTAGGCTGCAGGTTTAAACACTATGCAAATATATACAAAAATAGTAACTCTAGATTCAAGAATAAGGGCTTTTCCCAATGCTAAATTCATACTCTAATGCAGCCTGAGCTTTCCTCTAGTTCCTATGTCTACTTTATGCAGCTTCAAAGCTGTGTCAAGTTGATCCCTATCACCACATGTATATATGTAGCTGAATTAAAGAACACTACAATTCATTCTTAAAACACACAAAAAATGTCTCCCCAAAGTCCATTTAAAATATTTTTAAAGTTAAATGATTTTTTTTGGTTCGATCTCTATTTCTGCATAGCCACAGAAGTTTCTACTAATAAAGAGACTAGTGTTTTATATGATTATTTTGTGAAAAGTCTTAATCAAACATCAACACTGGTTCATGGAGTCCCATATTCTCCTCTCTTTATCACAAGCTTTATATTTTTAAAAGACCCCTACGTGCAGGGAAAACAGTACTAAGCACCGGCCTTTTGTGGTTAGGCTCAAATCTACGAAACTTGTAAGTAGTGCAAGCCACTGACTTTCCTTTGAGCAACGTGCATACAGTACAAGGAACAGATGCAAAGCTGCATGGTAACGTTCTCGTAATCAACAGTGATTACTGGGAAAGGTCAAAACTGGATGTCAAATACAATTTTGTCTTCATAGAGGGCAATCACCAGCATAATGGCAAATCCAAACAGCAATCCTAAATTCTGAAGGATGAATTGCCCCACAGGACAAAAGCCATGTTCTTCATTGTCACCATCACCATGCAACATTTCTGGAAGCTAGAAAAACAAATCTTCACATTAAACTTTGTATAATACTTCTGCTCAAAACAGTTTTTAAAACCGTTTTCCTACTTAAGAAAATAAATCACTAAAGTGTAACTACAGACAAAATAATTATTTTATTGAACACAATGCTACCCACCAGATGTATTTTAGTCAAATACTGAAGAAATTTTATGCTTTCGCTAGTCATTAAGGAAATACTAACTCTGTTCCCTCCTCATCATCCCCCACAACAAACACTTAAAATATACACATTAGTCATTTTTCAACCAGTTACTATCCACTGACCTTATAAATTCTGACATTTTACTTTATGCTAAAGTATAAAGCAACTTATTACCAATAAGACACTCAGAAAAAAAGATCACCACAATTCCCACATTTACTAATGTATCTTAAACTCACTAAGAAAGATTCTTGAGCTGGGCATGGTGGCTCACGCCTGGAAATCCCAGCACTTTGGAAGGCCGAGGTGGGTGGATCATGGGGTCAGGAGTTCGAGACCAGCCTGGCCAATATGGTGAAACCCATAAAAATAGAAAAATTAGCCGGGCGTGGTGGGGCGCGCATGTAGTCCCAGTTACTCGGGAGGCTGAGGCAGGAGAATGATTTGAACCCAGAAGGCAGAGGTTGCAGTGAGCCGAGATCACACCACTGCACTCCAGCCTGGGCAACAGAGCAAAACTCCATCTCAAAAAAAAATAAAAATAAAAATAAAAATTTAAAAAAAGGAAGATTCTTTTGGGAAATAACTAATTCAAAATGGTTTCACTTCTTCACTCTTTTCCACTTGAAATTCTCATTTTCCACTGCACATGACAGCAAAGAGATGCTTGGGGACAAATCCAAATCGCCATTCTATGCCCTTAAGCCACTGCTTTCATTCCAGTAACAGACACAGAAAATAATCTAGCAGAGCTATCCAGCATAACTAGTACCAAGTCATACACACTGCCCTCACAGTGTACTCTATTCTCTTAATATGGATAAAATGTCAAAATTCTGAAAATTGTCACATCTTTGAAGGCATAGTGCTTTGAAAAGTTTATACATGGCTGGGCGTGGTGGCTGATGCCTGTAATCCCAGCACTTTGGGAGGCCAAGACAGGCAGATCAACTGAGGTTGGGAGTTTGAGACCAGCCTGACCAACATGGAGTAACCCCATCTCTATCAAAAATACAAAATTAGCTTGGTGTGGTGGTGCATGCCTGTAATCCTGGGAGGCTGAGGCAGGAGAATTGCTTGAACCCAGGAGGTGGAGGTGAGATCGCACCACTGTACTCCATCCTGGGCAACAAGAGCAAAACTCTGTCTCAAAAAAAAAAAGAAAAGTTTATATACTTCAATTTCTGAAGCATACCACATACTACTACATCTAAGAGTAATCTGTAGATTCAAAATACAAAAATTAAATTCCTCTAATTTGTCTTAAGTAAATAAGATTTGTGGAAGAAATACATTTGCATCATTATAGGCATACATTCTTTCCACCCAAACCTAATCTAAAATTGTGAAAGAATTGCTACTTCCAATTTTTACTTTCACTTTTCTGCAAACATAGTTCAAATGTGCAATCAATACCTACAGAAAGATGACACTGATATGCTACTCTCTGGGACACTACGTTTTACTCCAAAACAGTATCTTGGTGCTTTGGGGGTTAGGGAGGAGAAATCTAGTGTTAAGTCACGTAATTCTTAATTCATACTTCTTCCTGTCTAGGAAGAAACATCATTATTTGTTATTAAATAATGGGTACAATTAATCCAACCACCATGCTCTGACGGTGCTACGGTATATTTTAGCCATCTTCTAAAGGTCATATTTAAGACCTACAGCATGCTATCATAAATTCTGTTTAAAAGTCTACAGAAATGGTATATAATAGCTAGTAAAGATTATTTTCTTGTCCAAACCATTCACAAAATCACTTTATCAAATCAACTAATGGTCTAAGAGTTGGCAAACCATACTGAATCTGGCCATGCTTATTCATTTACACATTGTCTGTGGCAGCCTTTGTGCTACAACAGCAGAGGCGCTGTCACAGGAACCACTCACTACAATGGCAGAGCTGAATAACTGTGACAGAAACCATATGGTCCCCAAAGCCTAAACCATTTACTATCTGGCCCTTCAAACTGACAGCTTCCTACATATGGTTCTAGTAAGAAGACTATTTTATTCTATCCTTTCTCCTCCTTCCCCCAAGTTTTTATTGTTACAAAGATTTTTCATTATGACTTTCTTTAAATACTTAAGCATAAACAATATGCAGGATGTTTTACAGAAATATGCCCACTAGATATATATACATACCAACTAGAATAGGAACTATAGGTTTGCCACATTTAATTCTAACCTGAATGTCAACACCCACACTGTTTGTCACAACCACTGCTAAGAGTCAATCAACACCTATGGGTATGGCCATACTTGTTTAAAATATTATACAAAAATGCTTCAATACTGATTGATAAACAGCACCACTCAAAGTCCTCTACAACTGGATACTTCTACCAGGATATCCTATAGGTATCTCAAACTAAAACTTCTGGTACTGTTGATATCTTATTGAATGGCTTTAAATCAATAAAAGTCTTCCTCCACAGAGCCAAAGTGGTCTTTCTGAAACAAAAATGTGATCATGTCACTCTACTGCTTACACTTTTTTATGGCTCTCCAAAGTTTACAAGATAAACTCCCATCTTTTTGGTATGGCATGTTGTGTGACTGTCAGGATATGGCCAACACCTACCTGATGACAATGTGGATCCATTTTTTCCTACTTTAACATTAGAAAATACCCAATTTCTGTGTCATTAAAATCTCACAAAATATATGTGGATAGTTTCTTCCCTTTCTCTTGAACATTTAGAGTGTTTCCAATATAATTATGACATTATAAATACTACTGCAAAGAACCAAGTACTGAGGTTTTATATTTGTTTGTTTATCAGGAGTAGTCATGTTATTTCCTCAGAATATAGTCCTAGCTACAGACTTACTGTTCAAAGGAATGATGTTATAAATCATTCAGCTTCCTCATACGACCCTTCCCCTTGCTTCTAATAAACTCCATTCTTTAGAACTCAGCTCGGATTTTTTGACAGAAAAACTTTCTATTCCCTATCTTTTTTGCCGGCCTCTCTGTAGTTCCACAAACATGGTGCAAAACTCTATCATAACATGTATGAAAATAACTGTAATTAATGACTACTGTTCTTCTGCGTTAAACTATAAATCCTTTCTGTAAAGACTCATTCTTCTTGTATCTGTAAATTTCTAGTGTTACAGATGAAAGGGAATACTAACTATAAACTAAATTTCCAGTAATATATAAAGTAAGACAAAAATGCCTGTCCTCCCAGAGCTGACATCTTAGTGGGGAAGACAAGGAACACAATAAATAAGTAAAATGGCGTTAATAGGTTGAGATACACGTACAATGGAGAAAAAGTAAAGCAGGGATAGAGGATATGAAATGTTGAAGGGGAGATTTAAATTTTAGATAAGATGCCTCCTAAGCAGGAGCTAGCCATGAGGATGTCTGCAGGAAAACTATTCCGGAGGGGTGATCAGCAGGTGCCACAGCCCTGACGCAAAGTGTCCCTTGGGGAGAGTGGGAGGATTTGAAGTAAGGATAGGAAAACTGAGGAGGACAAGGGAGTGGAAATGTTCAAGGATGATGAAAAACTTTGCAAGTCAAAGAAAGAACTTTAGGACTTTTACCCTGAATGGGATGAAAAACCACAATGTGAAGCATACAAATGGGATGATGTGATCTATGACTTAAAAGGATCACTCTAGTTGAGCTGATACAGAGTTGGAAGGCAGGGCAAGGGCAGAGCAGGGAGAGCAGTTAAAAAGAGAAAGATGGTGGTGGCTTGGATGAAAATGATGAGGGTACAGGTGGTTAGGCGAAAGAGGTCTCAGGGCTTTCTGGCAAACAAGATGTGGGAGGGCAAAAAGTTGAGTCAAAGGATAACACTCAGGTTTTTTGAGCAACTAGAAGAACAGAAGTATCATCATTTCTGAGACAGAGAATTCTACAAAACAGGCTGGTCAAGGAGTAGTGCTGGCAACGTCAAGAGCTGTTCTGAACATGCCAAGTGCACAATGCCTTGTAGACATTCAAGTACACTTGGATTAGTCTGGAGTTAAAGGAAAGGCCTATACTAAAGATACGAATTTAGGAATCATCAGCCAAGAAATATTTAAAGCCAGGAAATTAGATAAAATTACTTATGTCTTTTGCCAACGTTTAGATGCAGGGGGAGAAGAGGAGGATCCAGTATAGAGTCTGAGAAAAGCCAGCAAGGTGGAGAAAAGGCCAGGAAATTGTGGTGTTATAGAAACCTACTGACAAAAGACTGGGCGTGATGGCACATGCCTGTCATCGCCCCTACTTGGGTGGCTGGGGCAGGAAAATCGCTGAACCCAGGAGGTGGAGGTTGTAGGGAGCTGAGATCATGCCACTACACTCCAGCCTGGGCAGCACAGCAAGACTGTCTCACAACAAATAAACAAACAAACAAACAAACATAAGCCTACTGACATCAAAGCATTTCAAAGAAAAGAGAATGACCAACTGTCAAGTTCTGCTGTTATGACAAGAAAAATGAAGACTGGAAAATGACTAGTAGACTTAGCGATGCCATGGTCAATGGTTAATTTGACAAAAGCAGTTCTGGCAGAAAAGTCAGGGGGAAAACCTCATTAGGTTTGGCTCAAAAACAGAGAAAAATTTAAAAATAAACAATGGGCATGGCATGTTGGCTTATACCTATAATCTCAGCACTTTGGAAGGCTGAGGCTGGAGCATTGTTTGAGGCCAGGCATTCAAGACCAGCCTGGGCAAGATAGTGAGACTCCATGTCTAAAAAAAAAAAAAAAAAAATTAGGCATGGTGGTGTGCACCTGTGGTCCCAGTTACTCAGGAGGTAGAGGCAGGAGGATCACTTGAACCTGGGGAGTCGAGGTTGCAATGAGCTATGATTGCACCATTGCATTCCAGTCTGGGTAACAGAGTGAGACCCTGTCTCAAAAAATAACCCAAAACAAAACCAACCAAACAAACCAAACCAATGAAAATGTTCTAAAAGAGAACAGCAATAGGGTGACAGCTGAAGGGGAAGTTGGAACTAAGAGAGGTCCCCAAACTTTTTAAGAAGGGAGAAGTAATATGAGGCTTATAGGCTAATAGAAATAATCCAGCAGAAGGGGGGAAATGATGTGGGAAAAAGAAAGGAGAATTTAAGGGAGTTAGCAAAAGGGGATCAGTTCTAGGGAACAGTTTGCAGGAGCACCAGCTAAGAAGTTTCCTTTTGGTAACAGGAAAGAATGTAAATGGGCATAGATACAGCAAGATAAGCAGAAGTGATGATGAGAACTTGTGGATTGATGGTTTCAGTGTTCCCCATGAAATCAGAAGCAAGGTTATCAGCCGAGGGTGAGAATAGGAAATGAGATATTAAAAGTCAGCAGGGAAGATGACTATTCCTAGGTAATTTTGTAAACAAAAAGAAACAATTGTTTACATTTTCGAAACCTTCTACGATAAACAGGCATTAATTCTGTGATTAAAAATTTAGGCTGGGCTGGGTGTGGTGGCTCACACTTGTAATCCCAGCACTTTGAGAGGCTGAAGCAGGAGGAATGCTTGAGTCCAGGAGTTTGAGACCAGTCTGGTCAACATAGCAAGACCCTATCTGTATAAATAAATAAATAAATATACAGACACACACACACACACACACACACACACACATATATACACTTTTTTTTTTTTTTTTTGCTGGCTGTGGTGGCAGTCACGTATAGTCCTAGCTACTCAGGGGCTGAGGCAAGAGAACTGCTTGAGCCCAGGAGGTCAAGGCTGCAGGGAGCCATATCCATGCCATTGTACTCCAGACTGGGCAACAGAGCAAAACCCTATCTTGTAAAAAGAAAAAAAAAATGGCTGCATAATTTTGAAATAAGACTGTGATGATCTTACCAGAAAAAAAAAAGTAAACATCATATCTGGTCAAACAAACAAAAAAACCTAATTGCTAGTTCTATAAATATACAAACATATTTGGGGTATTAAAGTGGAATCAAAATAAAACAAATTGTTAGCATTTACATTTAACTTTAAGCTAAATTTAGAAATAAGAGAAATTATATAAACCCTATGGAATACATACCACTTCCTTCCAGAAGATTGGCTTACCTAACAGGAATAGTACTTCTCTCCTGTTTGCCACAAAACAAGCTCAAAAAATTAATTTTGCTAACAAAAATAAAACACTTTTACCCCAGTATTACAAAAAGTCTTCAAAGTAGTATAATAATTCTGTAATTATAACTCTACTACTAATGATTATTTAAATAGTAACATCATTTGGACACACATTTTCAGCAACTCAACTGGTTTCCATAAAAGGAAACCTCCTACTTAAATAAATGTCTTTCCTTAAGAGATTATTTAGGATATTATGCCTTTAAAATGAGTTATATTTTTAAAAATAGTTTGGCTTCAAACCACTTCCAAGGATTTCTTTCATTTGCAGATTTAGTACCACAAAAAAAAAAAAAAAAATCTTACCATATCCACCAAGGCTACATAGAGGAACATGCCTGCAGTGACTGCAAAGATCCAAAGTGTGATGTTATTGGCATACTGACCAACAGCTGTGCCTATGAGCATGCCTATGTAAGCCATCATGGCAGAGAGGAGGTTGTATACAATTGCTTGCTTTACAGTCATGCCTGCTTTAAGAAGAACTGCAAAATCACCTGCAATTAAGAAACAATGGGAATGTTTTAAAACCACAGGATTTACAACACAAATCTGAATGGAGAAAAACGACTAAAATCAGCACTAAAAAGATACACACTTCTAATAAAAATACTTTATGTGATATATAAAATATTTTACTTATGAAACCATAATGCATGCAAAAGCTTGGATGAATCTCAAAGGCATAATACTGAAAGAGGACCATCCGAAAGGTTATATATCTATTCTGAAACTGACAAAACGGTAATAATAAAGAACAATTAGTGGTTACCAGGGGATGGTGGAAAGCTGACTCTAAAGGAAGAGCACAGGACAGGGGTTGTTGGGGGTGACAAAGCTACTCTGATGCTGATGGTGGCAGTGATTACAGAAATCTATATATATGTTAAAATTCAAAGAACTGTACTCACAAAAAGTCAATTCTACTGTATAACTTAAATGTAAAATTTTTACAAAAGAAAAAAACACAGTCACCGCTTTTCTTGTAACCAACAATCAAGACCTCCCTGCTTGAACTTCTACCCTTTCTTCAAAGGGAAATGGCCTAAGGAAGAACAGAGATAACAGGTGCTTTAAGTATATTTTATGCTATGGTTACATTTATTTTTTTTTCCCCCAGAAAGAAAAATTAAACTTTCATCCTGAAAATTCTAAAAATGTAGTAAGAATAAAGAGCCACTTCCTACCACTTCCTACCACTTTTCCATGCTTCTACAATGATGCACATAAATGTTTGGCTGAGGCTCCGAAGAGCATCAACAATGCTGAAAACAGAGCAAATACCAGGTTCTTATTAAGCCATGCTCCAAAGTCTGTTTCTAACTGTGATGATGAAGAATGGTGACACTGGTAACTCTGAAATCATCCATAACCACAGAGCTGATGTAAGACAAAAACTCACAGAAGGGAAAATACTGAAATGCTTTTTCTAAGGATCCTCAATGGACTCTCCTCCCGCCACCCCCTCCCTCTAAATAAGAAGAAAGGCACTTTTCTTATTCATCTGTCTAAAGCTGGAACATTATCTGCAAGCTTGACTCCTGCCTATGAAAAAAAATGAAGTTGAAACATTAGGGGAAAAAAAATATTGCTCAGAGAAGTGTCAGTAGAAGGGCAAAATGATGCTAGAGATAACAGTATTGAAGCTAATGGGTCAAAAGCAATAGCTTGTTCCACCTTGAAGAGGTATGAAAGAAAAAAACCCATTATTAGCTTTACTTACTATAATAATTTCGTTTCACTTACTACATGAACAAACATCTAATCAATTATTGAACACTCAGCATATGCAAGGTGCTATACAGAATACTGACTGGGTTTGTTTCTTTCCCTTAAGAAAGGATCTTAACAGCTACGTATCTAAAGATACATGATCTGTTCTTCTATACCTCTCATGGTTACAAGGTCATAGTCTACAATAAGGAGAAGTTAACAATAAAGAAATTACTGCAAGGTATATTTCTACCTTCCAACAAATTGCTACAAAGTGAACACTGCGGCGTCATTTTGGAAAGTTAAGAAAATGTACCTAAGGAGATTATTTACCAATGGTTTCTAAGCTGTAATTGTCCAGTTTTCACCTAATGCTATTCTCCTTACATCTTTTCTCCTCTGATCCTAAATACGTTAATTCTCCTGCTGAGACCTGAATTTAATATCATCTTTTATCTCTTCTCTCTCCTGGAGTTCTGTTTAATTTTCTCCAGTCTTTCTCAGCTTTTTCTCTGTGGAAAGAGCTCCCTAACTTCCCTAACAAATTTCTTCTTGTTTTCAATAAATCACACACCAACTGTGCTAGAGAGGCAATTTCATTTAGCAGGTTATATAAAACAGACTACAGAAGTGTCTTTTAGGTTACAAAATGCATTGCTTTCTTTTATAATTTAGTAATGCATTTAAAAATGAGCATTATTTAATACTCAATGAACAACGGTGTCATGGGTACAAAATACATCAACTTTGTTGCCTTCTCTAATATTACTGGATAGCAAGATGGTTTAGTTCCTTCCTAAGTAACAACCAAACAGCATGAATTAACTAATCAAGATTCAAGGCGAACTATTTTCATTTAATACTTTTAAAAATTATGGTATAATTACACAATTATTTCATTTTTAAAAAATGTAGACTTCTATGAATTTGGACAAACACATACACCCCATAGCTATAAACACCATTAAACTCTAGAACTGTTTAATTACCCTTCCAAAATTTTGTTAGGCCACTCGCCCTTAGGCAAACAACAATCTGCTTTCTGTTCCTATGATTTTGCCTTTACCAGAACATCATCTAAATAGAAGCACACAGTATGTAGTCTTTCAAGTTTAGATTTTGTTCACTTAGAATAATGCATGTAAGACTCATTCGTGTTACTGTGTATATCAGAAAATTATTTTATTGCTCAGTAGTATTCCACAGATGAACCACAGTTTATTTATCTACATTCACCAGCAAAGAACATTTAGGTTGTTTACAGTTTTTGGTAATTATGGCAAAAGACACTGCACACATTCATAAACAGGCTGTTTGTGTCAACATAAGTTTTCGTTTCTCTTGGCCAGACACCTATTAAGTGGGGTCACTGGGCCATACAGTTAAGCATATTTCTAATTTTATAAGAAATTGCATCCCCGCCAGCAATGTATAGGAGCTCTAGCTGTTCCACATCCTAGTCAGCCCATAATTTGAAATCCAGCATCTAAAATCTCATCTGTATACTTTCTTCAGTGAAATGTTGTTCAAGTCTTTTTGTCTATTTTATTTTGTTGGGCTGTTTGTTTTCCCGTGACTGAAGTCTTCTGTCAGGTATGTATTGTCCAAATATTTTGTCCTAGTTTGTGGCTTGCCTTTTTGTTAACTGTCTTTTGTGAAGAGTTTTTAATTTGTAAGAAGTGTATTTTATGACTATTTTCCTTAACGGTGCAAGCTCTTAGTGCTGTATCTAAGAATACTTTGCCTAACCCAAAGACACAGAGATATTCTATATTTTCTTCTATTTTTAAGAGTCTCCATTTAGATTACCTATTTTGAGTTCATTTTTTTTTCTATAGTGAGATATGGGTCAAAGGTATTTTTCTTTCTTCCTTTTTTTTTAATTGCACGTAGATGTCCAATTGTTACAGTGCCATTTGTTGAAAATACTATCCCATCCTTTCAACATGGAATTTTCTTTGTATTTCTGTTGAAAATAAATTGCCATATATATGAGGACTCTTTGCTTTGTTCCACTGATTTATGTGTCTACTCTTTCACCAATTCCAACTGTTTTGATTACCGTGGCTTTATAGTAAATCTTAAATCAACTTGGCTGCCCTTTTCCAAAATTCTACGGCTATTTAAGTTCCTTCCCCTTTCCATATAAAATTTTTAAAAAGCTTGTTCATCTCTGCAAAAAAGCCTGCTGGATTTTTTACTGAGAATTCACTGTGTCTATAGGAAAAAATTAACATCTTAACAATAGTCTTCTGGTCCCTGAACCTGGTATAGCTCTTCATTGAAGTCTCCTTTGGTTTCTTTTATTGATGATTTGTAGGTCTACACATATTGTTAGAGTTAAGCTAAATATTACACATTTTTGATACTATTATAAAATTTTAATTTTCAACTGTTGATTGCTAGTATATAGCAATACAAATGATTTTTGTATAATTATCTTTGTATCAAGTGAATTATTTTATTTTCAAATCTATCTTGGTTGTAGTCTTATCTCAAGTTATAAATTCTCAAAGGTATCAGCATGTTTTTCCCTTTTTCCTCATTTCCCTTCTCAGTAAGAACCTGTATAAACATTTTAAAACTAAGTCAAAGGAATCCTCACAGCAGGGATTTATACTAAACATGCAAATCTATTCATCTTTTGATAAATCAATATTCTTTCCTTCCTGCTGACAAACGATATCATTAGCACAATGAATGAGGTGTGCCTGCCAAAGCTGTTAAACTAATGAGATCCAATGCTATAGATGTTAACATCCACTATTGAGGATTTTTAAAAACATGTGTATATTTTAAGGTTCTTTATTCTTGTCTTAAATAATGGTTGTATACATGTTAAAATTCTACATAAATGTATACAATGAATGTTCAATTTCCCACGGACAATTTAACACATTATGAAAATCTCATTTTAAATTTCTATGTAATCCTTAATTTGAGAGGAAAGGAAAAATGTACAACACTATAACCTCTCTTACTTGAGTCTTAGTAATATGGCTACATATTTTTTCTTGTTCAACTTTCATTTTAGAAGCATGAGGTACATGTACAGGATTGTTACAGAGGTATATTATGTGATGCTGAGGTGTGGGGGTATGATTGAACGATCACCCTGGTATACTACACAATAGTACCCAGTACCCAACAGCTAAGTTTTCTAACCCTTGCCCCATGGCTATATTTATTTATTAAAATGTTATTTCCTTGAAGTTGAAACACATTACTCAACATCAAGAAGAATGTTTGGGAAATTGTGATAGACCAAGATGTCAAAATGGAAGGTGACCCACTCATATCCCAACATCCACAAGAAGAATTCTGTATCTATCCACAGTCAAAAGCCTCTCTGTGGAGTCTCAGAATTCAGGCAGGAGTTTGTGAAACCCTCGTGGACTCCAAGACCCAGGGGCTGTTCTGAGAGTGCAGACGACACCCAAGTGGTTGATCCACCCTAAGTTCAAACCTGGAAGCGGCTGTCTTCCTCCTGCCCCTGATGGTCCCCAATATTATATCCCCTATAGATGGCCTCCTCCTACTACAGGCTTTTATGTAAATTATTCTTCAAATGCTTATACAGTTTCTTATTGAAGGAAGGTGGAAAAAAGTGAAGAGATAAGACAAAGTAGTATTGTAACTTAAATTCAGCTACATAAGTTTGGCAAACACAGAAAACAGAGTAATGACTTAATAATTCAGGCAATTTAACCCATTACCACACCAGAGAGCAAACACAAAATGAGATGTGAGTTTGCTATTTCCTCAAATGCTTTCAATTTCTTCATGTCTCTTAGCGTCAAACTCCCTGAACTATGTTATTCTATGGTTCTAGGGATATGTTTTTACATATCACATTTCTAAACACAACTACAAAACACACGTGCAGAAACTGCAGAGAGAAAAAGGGGTAAGTGGTAAGAAGGTAACCATCATTAATCTCCAAAACAACTCATTTTCAATTATGTGTCTCAGTGAATATACCACTGGAGAAACAGCAATCTGCTCAGAAATAGAACACTAGAACTTGGAATTACTGACCAACTGAGGGTCAGTCTCCAGTGTATTGCAATGTAATTTGAAAACATGTTTTTCCTCCAAGGGTCTGAGATCAGTATGGAAATCTCAGAATCGTTTTAAGAATTCATAATAAAAAATGTAACAGGGTAAAATTAGGTTTTAGACCAAATAGATTATCCTGAAATGTGACATACTATACTGCCTTTTCAACATCTTAACCTAGAAAGTGGGGAGTGGACTTCTCCCTGGCTCTATCTGCCGTGCTTCTAACTCAACCCACAGAGGAATGACTTTCCCTGTGCTTGGGAGTTCTGAGGAAGAACCGTGTATGCCTTTCTCCACATCTTGTTTCTCTCCGACTAAGAGTAGATGATCTGGTCAGAGTAGGAACACTGACCTGGTCCTATTGTACAAAAGTGCCCTTTGCTGTACCTTAAGACAAAAACTAGGCTCCACAATCATATTCTTACTTCCTTTATTTATGGTCCCTAGACCACTTCTTAACTTGTTGATAGATACAAGGACCAGAGGCCTTTCTGTCACCTCCAGAAGAAGAAGCTGGGCCATTTCTTTACACTGTTTCTTCCCTAGTGGCCTATCCAGCTAGAGTATGGTACAGTTTATGTCAATTTAACATTAGGAAAAATGCACATTTTTCTGAAAGCCTACTCGTTTCCCTCTGGCAAAATTCAGTATACTCTGGCTTGACATTTCCTCTCACAGCAGTAGCAACATCTCAACCTCTGATTTGTGGGATAAAACAGGTAGACATCTGAGGTCTGAATGACTCACTAGGGGGTCCTGGCCCAAGCAGAGTTCTCCGCTCCAGTTTTTTACCAGAGCTCTGCATTGAGTATCAAGGGTTTACCTAGCCATTAATGTATGTAATGCATTTGTCCTACACGTGGTTATCAGCCCTTGTGTGTCACGCCTTCAATGAGAAATTGCAGACAGAAAAAGAAGTGGTAAGAAGGTCACCATCCTTAATCTCCAACTTGTTCTCAATTCTGTGTCTGAGTGAATACTTCAAGGTTAGGGCAATTTGACAAAACCACATTTAAACTTGAGGTAGCCTGACACGCCATTCAGCGGGTAGTGGGTAGATGAACAGGAAGGAAAGTTAGAGGCTTTTCTAGTACATTATGGAGGTATATGCATGATTATCCAAGTCTATTACTAAAAATAGTGGGTTTTTTTAGTGAAAGATTAAATATGAGGCAACATGTTACTCATATATAAAAACTGATAGCCTTGATTTGTGGAGTTAGACTAAAAGCAGTATGTGATAGACTAACAGCAGTATGTGATAGAGAAGAGTATAAGACATAGTATCTATGCATTAAAAAACTACAGTTTAAGAAATTGGGCATCTAACAAGAAAATGGGCGAAGGATCCCAAGAAAGCAAACAAAAAAATTTAGAGGAAACAGTAATCCAAGGCATGAGGTAAAAGACAGTAATAAAGTTGAAAGTTCTTAACATGATAAACTAGGAACAGAAGTATTTGAGCCAGCCATGTAGGAAAATGGTATAAACAAAGAAACAGATTCAGGCACCCACACTACACATTTGGTGACTTGCGTTTAGTTGAAATGAAAAACATGTAACAGGATGTACTGCAGGTAACACCAAAAAGGTAGGTAGAGAGAAGTGAATGTCATTGAAAGCATGACTCATAGCTGGGCATGGTGGCTCACACCTGTAATTCCAGCACTTTAGGAGGTTGAGGGAGGTGGATCACTTGAGCCCAGGAGTTCAAGACCAGCTTGGGCAACATGACAACACCCTATCTATCAAAAATACAAAAATTAGCTGGGCATGGTGGTGCTTGCCTGTAGTCCCAACTACTCAGGATGCTGAGGTAGGAGGATCATTTGAGCCCAGGAGGTCAAGGCTGCATTGAGCCGTGATCACGCCACTGCACTGCAGCCTAGGCAACAGAGGGAGACCCTGTTACAGGAGGAAAAAAAATGTGACTAATAAAGTCCAGCTCTATTTTATATGTCAGGAAAGTTACTGAAAGACTTTAATTATATGAAAACATCACATTTAAACAGATATATCTGGCAATGATATACTACAACAGAATAAAACCCGAGATACAAAGACTATGGAAACTGTCTAAGCAAAACACCACAAAGGCAGTGATGACTTGGTCTGGATAAAGGATAATGGGCATGAACAAGACATAAGATTATGTGTCTGAAGTTGGCAAGGTAAATGAAACCATGCAGAATCAAGCCCCAAGGAATCAGCACCAAGTATGCACTAATATATTTTTACTGCTTTATGTAAGAAGTTACTGATTTTTCAAGAAAATCATATGGTAAGTTATATTAAAAATAAGCAAATACTACAAATCAAGACAATTACGCACAAATGACAGACATTTCATAGCCAGGTGAGTTTTCAGAAAAATTAAATTAGAAAACACATGAACAAATCCCTTGCATATTCAAAAGGTGACATTAGTATTTTTTTCTTTCAAATTAACGCCATCTCCATTTCCCTCAGATATTTTGCATGTGAATGAGTATTTACATCTTAAGCTACTGTTTTCTAATTTATAAAAGAGGAAAACCCAAAGCACTACTGCATGTGGAGAGAAACTAAATTGGTAAACCAATAAATACCAACTAAAATAAAAAAGAAATGGTTTACATCCATTACCTTGGTAAAACAGAGAAAGTTAAGGCCAGGTGCAGTGGCTCACACCTGTAATCTCAGCACCTTGGGAGGCTGAGGCAGGCAGATCACTTGAGGTCAGGAGTTCAAAACCAGCCTGGCCAACATGGTGAAACCCTGTCTCTACTAAAAATACAAAAATTATGGCCAGGCACAGTGGCTCATGCCTGTAATTCCAGGACTCTGGGAGGCCGAGGCAGGCAGATCACCCGAGGTTGGGAGTTCGAGACCAGCCTGACCAACATGGAGAAACCCCGTTTCTACTAAAAATACAAAATTAGCCAGGCATGGTGGCACAAGCCTATAATCCCAGCTACTCGGGAGGCTGAGGCAGGAAAATTGCTTGAACCCGGGAGGTGGAGGTTGGGGTGAGCCAAGATCACACCATTGTACTCCATCCTGGGCAACAAGAGCAAAACTCTGTCTCAAAAAAAAAAAAAAATGAGCCAGGTGTGGTGGCGCACGCCTGTAGTCCCAGCTACTTGGGAGGCTGAGGCATGAGAATCACTCGAACCCGGGGGACAGTGGCTGAAGTGAGTTGAGATCATGCCACTGCACTCCAGCTTGGGCAGCAGAGCAAGATTCTGTCTCAAAGAAAAAAAAAAAAGTGAGCTAATGCCAAGTGTTGGGAGGGTTGTGGCAACAAGAACTTTCAGGTATCGCTGTTTGGAAATCATACTGCTTTAGCATGCATACCCTAGACCTGTCAATTCTGTTTCTGAGTATATATCTCAGAGGAGTCGACAGGTACCAAGTCTAGAGATGTTCAATGCACTACTTACTATCTGTGACAGGAGGAAATTAAAGGCCATGTGCTGTGTCCAATAGTAGGTGCTAAATACGTAAAATGTGGTGAAAGCACATTTCTGAGTACTGGGCAGAAGCCATATATCAAATTAACTCATCGTAATTGGGATGGAGAGTTTTAAAACATAATAAGAAGTAACATAAGGTAAGAAACATAGGGGATGTATAAGGAGAGAGAATCAAAGTGAGCAGAATGTAACCCATTTCTCTTTTAGAAAAAAAAAAAAGTGCAGCTCATTTCTAGCGTTCATTTCTAAGGGCAAATGGGAAATGCATTCGGAAAAAAAAAGAATCAAGTCCAACATAATATATATGATTACCATAGTTGACAGTGTATCGATAAAGAAGAAAACATTTTTTAAAATGAAAAAATAAAAATACAGGTTTTCAAAGATTACTTTTTGAGTATTCAGCTCCATCCTACCAAAATCACGTAAGAAACACATACTAGATTTTTGGGTATTAAGATTATAATATTAAAATATATAAAATGAAAACAGAAATCATCTAACGTTCTTACTTCATAGATAAAATAAGAGCTTTGGAAATAAATGATTACTCTAAAACCTCAGTGCTGGTTAGTAACAAAGAACGCAACCCTATCTTTAATAACCATCCAGGTAACTTTTTTGAACATCAGTAATAACTTTCCATTATTTATGAAGAAAGACTGCCTTAGGTACATCTAGGAAAACTTTCAATTATGTAATTGCAAACTTTACCCTGATTCTTTTAAAAATATAGTCTACATGGTATATGAAATAAAAGTAGATTAACAGCAAAATGTGGCATTTAAATTAAGAAATATTTCTTTTTAAAAGTTATACTTAGTGAACCAGTCATAATCTATAATCTTCATTCTAACAGCATAACTATGTTATTGAATGCAAAGGAAACCACACAGAAATGAACATTTCATCAATCTTAAGAAGCATATTTTTCATATTTTAACATCATGAAATATCTTACAATCAGTGACACTATAGTTGCCATCAGCCATTTTTTATGCTTGAACATCTCTGAAATTTGAATGCAATTTCAATTAAGGAAGTCTTACATTTGATGAAATCTGGTAAAATTTTTAAGGTTATATTACCTAATTCATGTGGCAGTTCATGACAGAAGACAGCTATAGAAGTACTGATTCCTCCCGTCAATCCAGCACTGAAAGCTGCACCTGAGGAAGATAAGAAAAAAAACAAGTGAGCTTTGCTGATCTTAACTCTTCACATTTTCATTAATGACAGATGCAGTTTCCTTTGCCTATCTAAATTAATTTCTTAATATATGAGTGACTCACTTATCTTACACACTATAGTTTTTGAACATATAGTGGGGTATAATAGGTATGTGACAACTAGAGAAATAGCTATTCAATAAAAGCAATATTCCATATTGAATTTAATTCTCTATTTTTGTAGCCTTCCAACTCACTAATATCTCAGGGATAGTAACAATTTTCCGAGCTTCAAAGTAGTAGTTTGATGGTCAACTTTAAGTCTTATAAGTCTAAGATTGTACTTGCTCTCTCACATTGATCTTTATAAGGATTTAAATGGCTAATATCCTTATCAAAACTTTTCTAGACCTAGAAAATAAATGGCACAAAGTATTACTTGTCTGGTAGTGTTGAGGACTGAGGTCAGACGTATAAATGCATTTAGGTCTACAAGCAGAATTATTTATTCTTTAGTATTAACAGCTACTATAGGCTGAACATGGTGGCTCATGCCTGTAATCCTAGCACTTTGGGAGGCTGAGGCAGAAGGATTGCTTGAGGTCAGGAGTTCAAGACCAGCCTGGGAAGCATAGCTAGACTCTGTCTCTATTACAAAAAACAAAACAAAACAAAACAAAAAACAGTTACTGTAAATTCAAAAACATTGTCTCTGCTTTCTGAAAGAAACCAAAGCCTACTTCTGGGTGCTAACAGAGTCTGGATCTCAAAGAAAATAATGTATTGATCACATTTAATGTTCTCTTTAACTGGTAATATCAGTTTACTTTAGCAAGATACTAATATATTTGAATTTAGTACAATGGATTTTCAATGTTGTAAAGTTTTTTTTTTTTTTTTTGCCTTTTCAAAGATATGGAAAATTTATTAAACCTAAGATTGAAATTAAACTGTTCTCTTTCAGGGACATGTAAATGCATTTGAAAATAAAATGTTAAGCAGCTTTTTCAATATGGTAACTGTACTTTGAGAAATCAAGTTATTAAACAAATATACTACAGACATTTGTTTACATGTTCAAAAAAACCCCACTAAATTATACCCTTACACCTCCAAATGTAACAACTGAACACAAAACTGTAGCCTTTGGGAAAATCAACTGACCAGAGTGATACATAACAGTATATTTGTTAAGCTCCAGCCAAATTTAATCATACATATTATACTCCATAAGATTAGAACAGACAGTGGTTTCCAGTCCACTTACCAATTGCGAGCCCATCACTGAAGTTGTGGATGCCGTCCCCCATGATCACCATCCAGGCTATATTAGCTATTCCTGTTTCTTTCAGATCGGATCCAGAATGACAGGGACCATGGGAATGATGAGAATGCTTGTGGTGCCACTGGTGATTATGCTTCCTCAGTACAGTTTTGTTCTCGCCGTGGTGGTTATGTGCAGCAGCATGGAGATCATGCTCATGAATGGTATGTAATCCATCACTGTGAGAATGGTCTATGATTTTCTCCTCTTCTATACAAAGGTAATTTTTAGGAGGGGATTCTTGTTGGCCTTCTAAATCTGTCAGTTCAGTTTCATTCAGTCGATCTTCAGAAACAACTGAGTCATCAGTTCCTGTATTTACAGCAAAGGATATGCTTTATCAACATTTAAATGCATGGATATTTGCTAATTTAAACCTAGACAAAACAGCAGTGCAATGAACATTTCTTAAATGAATGTCTTTTAGAAATCTTAAATAAATATATTTCCCTAAAATTATTTAGAAGCCATTCTAATAGAAAAATGATTTCTGGAGTCCAATAAAAAAATAAGCAAAACAAAACAAAACAAACACACACAAAGAAGAAACTGGTTTGGCGGGAGATTCAAAAGATGCTCCAGATGAGGTCAGTGGGAGGGAACTGAAATCAAAAGCAGGCAAAGTGAGGAGAAAAATTGGAAAGCATGAAGATAAAAGTTCGATAAAAGTTCATCTTCGGATAGAAAGCGTCTTCTAAAAAAAAATCACTCCCTCTAGACCCCTCCTCCCTTATTGCAGCAGCCTACTGAGAACTTTATTAACTGTAGCTGGTAAATTAGAAGCTACAATAATGATAAAGAGCAGAATTGTACTTAAAGTGCAGATCCTTGTTCTCTGACCATTTGTGATGTCTGAAAAGCCAAAACCCAAAAAGCTATGCTGGTATGTACAGGCATTCTTTCAGACAGTAAATGGCTTGTGGTACTCTGACACTTGTTTTCAAATGTATTTACTAACTGTAGTGCTGACCGCCTGACCAAATTCCAGTGAAATTTACCAAAATATTCCTCCTCAGTCCTATTTACTAGTAACATGCACACTGTGACCGGCTGGTATAACCACCCCAGTTAAACTGTTTTCATAATTAGTACTGCCAGCAATAGTGGCAAACATTGCAACTTTTCTGCATAAAAAGCATTAATTGCATGCCTGCCAGCCACACAAATACATCAATTTTTCTGACTTCCCATTTATTAAGTGAAATTTATTTCCCATGCTGTGGAAAGTTTATTGAGAACTTGTATTTCATAAATGGATATCCTTACTATGACTGTGAAAACATGTCAAGTGTCACATTAGTGTCATAGAAAGCACACACCTATGCAATATTGCTTATTTATATTTATTTGTAAAAATTCAATCCTAGTTTAAAAGATGATGTCGATATTACTAGTCTTGAGTTTCTTTCTTTTGTCACCCAGGCTGGAGTGCAATGGCATGATCTTGGCTCACTGCAACCTCTGCCTCCCAGGTTCAAGCGATTCTCCTGCCTCAGCCATCTGAGTAACTGGGACTACAGGTGCATACCACCACACCCAGCTAATTTTTGTATTTTTAGTAGAGACAGGGTTTCACCATATTGGTCAGACTGGTCTTGAACTCCCAACCTCTTCATCCGCCCACCTCGGCCTCCCAAAGTGCTGGGATTACACGCGTGAGCCACTGCACCCAGCCACTAGTCTTGAGTTTCTAAGAGAGTTCTTTATGATTAAACCAGGTAAGTATATGAAAGAGATTAAGTGCTTTTTTCATCACTTATTTTCTTTAAAATCAGTTATTATAGGATACATTTTTATTTTACACATGCTGTTTTTTAATTAAAATATAATCATTGAAGTTTACTAATTTGATTATAAGGTTTGTAGCATTACAGAATAACTAAATTGGGATTTATAAACCAGCAGTGATTATTAATGTAAAGTATTAAATACTGAACTTGAAACAGATTTTTAGGAAAATTTTGTTGTTTTTCCCCTTCTATGGTTTTAACTAATTTGAATCCTTCAAGAGGGATTTTTCCATACTATTTTTTGAGACAGAAGATAATTTGAGGGGGAGGGGTACAGAATGCATCTATGATACTCCATAAATTCAACATTCTTTACCACAGGTAATAAATGATTATAAACAAGATGTATCTTAGATAGTATTAATATTCTGAGCCTTGGATCACATATTTAATATAGGACCTATTTCGAATATTTAATCATATGGCTCCTAGCTTAAAAGGGCTAGGTCTAAGATTATTCCCATAAGAAATGTTGAATTGATGAAGAACAGATTTTGAGGTTTCGAAAATGGTTAATTTCTCAAAAACATCAATGTCCAAACATCTACCTTTTTTCACAGGAGGAGACACTAGCAAGCTAGACAAACTATCATAAAAGTATTTGTCGGCCGGGCGCGGTGGCTCACTCCTGTAATCCCAGGACTCTGGGAGGCTGAGGCGAGTGGATTGCGAGGTCAGGAGATCAAGACCA